GTCACAGCTGCGATGGCTTGGGCACGTGTTGCGAATGCCTCCAGAAAGGAAGGCTAAGCAATTGTTCCTTGCAAATCCGACCGGCAGAAGGCCCAGGGGACGGACAGATTCACCTGGTGCAAATATATGGAAGGAGTCTGTTCCAGACTCCAGAGTTCCTCTGCCGAAGCTCAGACCCTGGCACAAGAAAAGGAACATGGGAAGCACTGTCTGACGCGTCTGCCTTCACGATCCAAATAGAGAAGCGGTAAAGAGAGATAATAATGTTTAACGCGGTATCGGAAGATCCTACTAGAAGAGTGTTACTTTAAAACAAATTCGAATTGAACGATTCACCACAGGTAATTCAAATTGGTAAGCCTTGGAGGAAGAGGGAAAAGAAGTCGATTTACATTATGTCATAAATCTGCGAAGTCGTTTTGCAATGATCATATCGTTCCGATACGAATCTCTTGTTCAGCCTGGCAAACTTTCCAAAAGTATAAAATGACTTATAAGAACGAAAGTTAGAGTAGATTGTAAGGAAGTAGATCCAGATTTGCTCCATGATTTTTGGCCTTTCAGCGCAAATAATTTTCATCTTCCTGGTTTAGATTCCGGTTCATCCTCTAATCCTTCATATCCATATTTGATAACGTTCAGTTTCATATTCTTGAAAACATTTAGTTAGAAACACGATTTTTCTTTTTCATAATGGACAGAACGAAATCATGTTTTGTTAGGCAGAAGATCAGTGGCTCTTGGAAAGATTCAACACAAGCTACCGTCGTTATGGAGCAGCAAAAACGATAACCTGCGTCTCTTAGAAACTATTTCAATGTAGGAGCATCAACAACATGGGAACAAACATGCCCAAGGCATATTTTTTCGATCGTGGATTACAATGCTTTGGTCGTTTGTCGTTTATTTACAGTACAACTTATAGATTCTAAGGATGACTAACTCTAAAAGGAGTAGGCAGAATTTAATGAAAAGTCAACGTAATTTCATATCGCTTGTGGGAGTATTCAAATTTCAACAGTAAATGGAAATTTACTTGTTTATGCCTACGGATCGTGGGGAAACGCGTTTGGGCTTGTGAGCATGTCACTGTTCAGATAAACTGGCGACTGAAAACATCGGAGCCGTACAACAATGCAGTTTGTGTAAAGTGGAAAGTACATTTTTCTTTTCTTACACTGAACATTTTTGACGTTGTAATCCAGTATCGTTATTTTAATATTTTAATAATAAATGGAAATTTACTTGCCAAATTTTGGTACGAATAAAACACATGATCCAAATTTAAAGACAGACGAATAAATTGCAAAACTGCGAGCCTGTTTCATATAGTTATAAAGTATATATATGAACAGCGACCTAATTGAAAGGCCTAACAAGTTGGTCACATCAATTGTTCACCCCCAGAGACGGTTCGGTTTGAAAGAACACGGGAGGATACGTTTCTAAGAGAGATACACGAAACAGATCAGTTTTGGTATTGCTGTATGGCCATGTCAGTGAATACTACACGCCAGTGAAATGCATGGCATCTTGATGCTGATCGAAAAACCGGAGTCTGTCTCTCTAGAAGAATGTGAAAAACGCAGAACCGTTTTTGCATGCTGCATGGACGACGTAATAAAATATTAATCAAGTTGAATATTAAGGAATTATTAGCCCACACCAGACTATTGAGCATATTGTCATTGAGTGGACTAAGCAGTCCTCTAAGGGAAACATCCAGTCTATCCTTTTAGTCACAACCGAAGCAATGGACTTGTGGTTCAAATCGATGCTGTCTTGATGTCATGCGCAGAGAGACGACAATTTACGGCGTATTGCACTGTATTTTCAGATCAGTAACTCGTCCATTAGAGACTGTTCAACGACCGTGTGTTAGACCCGTCCGGGTCGCTCATTTAACTTCCTCTTTGGATAGGTCAGCCAAACTCAATATAGCAGAAGGAGTCCACAGTCTTACAGCATATTGGCGTCCTACTTTCAGAAAGAAGTGCAGCACTCTTTGATGCATTAGGTTCACAGAGCAAGCAAATTAATTCTCTGATGTCGCGAATCACAGAAACGTATGGAAAATCGACATCAGAATAGCTATGCCGAACGTTCATTTCTGGTACGAAATACTGTAGATCTACTGGTTGGGATAACAGTTTATTGTGGTACTTCGTTTGATATATCAAGTTTCGGCTGACCCGGGTTTCTCAGTTGGTGGAGCATCGTACCCAGAACGAGAAAGTCCCGATTCGAGTCCCTGTTGGATCACTCGGTTTTCTTCCTTCTGGAGTTGATAAACGAATATCACCTTCTGGAAAGGAAATAAGAGACTACACTCTATGTTCACATAGCTGCTGTCGGTTATGACTTTAAAAAGTAATGCTCTCCTAGCTGATATCACGAAAATGGAGATCAGCCGCCACCATTAACATATGAAAAGAAGGTCGTCAGAACTGGCTCCACCAAGACAGCGAAAAAAAACCGACATTCCAACCATTATAAATCTTATTTCCTTCCTTTTCCCTCTTCATTTGAAGACAGATTATATCATAATTTAATATTAATATATCTTCATCACGTCCGAACAGTTCTGGACACATCAATGCTGTTCCAAACTCGTAATGGTAACTTCAGTTAATATCAAAACACGCTCATCGTACACTAATGCACTACGGTAATATCGAAACCTTTCCCTCGGTCAGGAGTTCATAAAATGCAGTTTTTAGAGTGTTCGCCGTTGACTGTTTTTTTGCAATGCAGCTCATGAAACGAATTACCTCAGACCTGAATGAGGTAAGCCAAGAAAGTCTAGTGTTATAATGTGCTATGTATTGCAGCTTCTTTTGTTCTCGGCTGAATTCCTGGTTGATCACATCTTTATGAAGCGTTTTTCGTGTTGGAAGTAGCATCGTCACTCCCGTCTGTTTTCTGTCCCACGAATTTGCTGCCTGACTTCAAGACAGTGAGTTTCTTATTTTGGTGTTCAGAAAGTCTGCAAATGAAAGAATTGTACGTAGTTCTGTTGCATCGATCGTCATTGCTTACGTCGTTGATTGGCTTTCCTGTTTTGAACGTTTTTCCAAAACGATTGTCTTTTTAAATTCTGGCTCCTTATGTTTGACCTCTTCTACCTTCTCTGCCTTCTTCGCACCATTTCGGTCAGCCAGTTCGAAATGTTCATCGCCAAGAGATTTTGAGCTGAAACGTTTCTCTGCATATTATTTACATTGCATTACGGTTTCTTACGCAGACGGGTCCCCTTCCTCCTTCGATGACCTTGCAATACCGGCTTTTTCTGTGTCTTTGCCATCGCTGCTATTCCGTTCTTTCGGACGTTGGGGCGGTGTTGGAAAATCCTGGACACCGAAATCTTCGATGACGAGTTGGCTGTCTGTTGGTTCCAATACCAGAGCGTCTGGGGTAATGTCATCTGGTTCAGGAAAATCCGAGAACACCGTAGGAAAATACCTGAATAGCATTACTGTGAAATTATTTGACGACACATGGCACGCAACAACATGTTAAGTATGAACATGCATTGCAAAATTATTATACAAAAGTGTCAGCACCTTCTTCGTGACATTTAACTACTAATCATATAATTTGAGAAATACCGTCATATCCTTTAAGTTGCAGAATATAATTCTGTTTTTCCCTAACTATTACAAACTTTGTAGTATTTCATTCGTTTGCTGGTAGCCAAAATGAGAAATAGTAGCAGGGATCAGTTATACTTTAAACAACATGAAGTACTGCGATCTATCGGGCGATAAACTAATCTCATGCGCCTAATTTCAAATAACGCGATTAATAAGGTATGGTTCGTGAAGCAATTGCCTGCAACAACTGGTCACATCGATGCATGCCCAGATAGAAAGGCAGAAAAGCTCTAGAATTGCGTTACACGCGACACAGGAAGGAAATTCCACCTTCACCGATGGTCCAACGATTAATGTGTACTAGGATCAGCAAGGAAAAAAACTGATTGAACAGAAGCATCAAAGAAACGTTAATCAACAAATTCTGAGGAAATTTTAATTGCGACAATAATTATGAATTATTTTGCTGATTGGAAAAGCCTCATCGTACTGTCGGTTTAAAGCTATTCGAGCAACAGCTTGAGCAGACAGCTCATCTTCAGGCTTCAGCTGATCAACTGTTACAGAAGAACCATTTCACCACTTACAGTCTATCAACCGCATTGGGTTAAAGAAGGCTCGTTAAAGACGCGCTGAAATTTTGGTATCGATCCACACCTGACAGACGCAGTGAATCTGGCAGCGGGCCATCTGGTGCATACCCATATCACTAAGAGAGGAATGGCCCCCAGATAGGGGGGGGTTAGTTGTGACAAATGATCAGTACAGATAGGAAACAATCGGTACTATCTGATGGTGTACGGAGGCGGTTCCAGCAAATCCGTCACCTATGAAGTAACCTTATATCAGTCC